TTTCACGGCTAAATGATCATGCAATATTTTATATATGCTGGTGGAACTAATGCCTAAGGTTGTCTCAATCTCACAGTATGTCACATGATGATCTTGCATTATTAGTTTTTGCACAGCATCAATGTTTTCTGACACAACAACTGATTTTGGACGATCTTCATGACTTTCATCGGTGAGCGAACAGCGACCACGATTAAATTCGTTATACCAGCGTTTCACAGTGGCAAAGGATGGGGCTTTATCGCCAAAAGTGGAAGTAAGTTGATCGATGCATTCCTGTCTTGATAATTCACGTCGAAAGTCGTAATAAATCATTGCACGAAAATTTTCACAAGTTAATTCCATTTTTTCGCTGAGACACAATTTTCAAGTGACTGTAAACAATACAAATCGCGCTCAAATAACAAAACGTTCTGAAGAAGGTTAGGTTAGGGACATTTTTAGTCAAAAATGTCAAACTTTCTAGTGGAAACGTCAGATGGCATCTGACAACACTCAGTGTTGCCAAGGCTCAAAATATAAGTAGTGCCCCTCGTATAAGGCAACAAAAAAACATCACAAAAGAGATTATTACTATGAACAAAAAACAATACAAAAAAACAAATGGTTATAAACGAAAAGTGTTACAAAGAGTATTCGCCGGTATATGCTCCAAGCGTTTTTCGACCAAAATATAACGTAATGTAATTTTTCTAGAAACAACATTTATTAATTATTTTAAATACCTAAATACAAACAAGTTTCATAATTAATCGATTGAGTGCCAACATCTGGCTGCTATCGAAATCGATGATATTAAAACGCAATGTCTCCCAACCTTGATAAAAGACCTTCAATCGCTTTTTTTTTGGGAGGGGACATAACAATCAAACATATTTTTTGCAATATGTTTCAAGGCTAATAGAAGTATAAATATAAGTGAAACTCGATAGAATTGTATTTTCATAAATTTTTATGAGGGTAGAGCGTTTTTTTTTTAAGTATTCTTTGAAAATGAGCGCATAACGCTCTACTCTGAAAAGAGGGGGTTACAGACGAAAATAAATTCAGTCTAGAAATGTACCAGATTACAGTACGTTGAAATCTATGAGAGCGAACTCGTCTTACTGTTAGTAAATCGTTGTAAATATGGATCGAGATGTCATTCAAGCAGAGCATGATCTGTCGAAGCGATCCCACCAAATTGCTAGCTTAAAGGAGTGTTTCGCGTGGATAGAAGAGTGTAATGAATTCATTAAACAGCTTGAAGAATACAATCATGTCAAGCGTCCACGGCTCTCCATTGGATACAGACAATCGCTACAATTGCACGACTCGAGAGTACGAAGACTGAATTAGAGAGACGATTTCTACATTTTGGTGGTGACTACGCGAGCACTAGCAATAACAGTGACAATAACGCGGAAAGATCTTTTGTTTGGCGAGAGATCGATGCAGTTTGAAAATCGAATTTTAACCGGTGCGGTAATTAACGCGGACTATATCGAGCCGCGACGATTTTTAAAAGATATCAGCAGTGTAGTGCTCGAGCGAGTGCAAGACACAATAGAAAGACATAACTGTGTAAAAGTGAACACCATATTTAACGGCGAATTTGTGACGGGTGATAAACGTGCCAATAAAAGTATTAAAACTAAAAACTATGAACTTTTCCAAACATCGAACTTGCGTAAATGGTACGAGCGGCACGTCACCGAACCCACGTTGGCATCTCTCGAGAAATTTCAAGAACGTGACAGTGGGTGCGCGTTGTCGCGAATTATGAATCTTACAATAAACATCAATAAGTGTAATCCAATGCGCGCGGGATGTCGCTTCGAAGTGCCGCGAGAAATAAAGACAAAGAGAGCGGTGATTAACGTGCGATCGATGGACAATGCATGCTTCGTACGGTCGGTGGTCGCCGCTCTGTACCCGGCCGAAAGAAACGGATCGCGAATCTTCCTACCCACACTATACGATGGTGCTGAATTTCCAAAATATAGAATTTCCTATAACGTTAAAAGACATAACGAAATTCGAATGTCTCAACGACGTGTCGATTAACGTATACGCTATCGAGGGACAGAAAACATTAAACGTTCTCCCGATTCGACTCGCTGACGACAAAAAGGAGAAATATGTCAATTTATTATATTTGCAAGATCCGCGAGATGACAATGTGGGCCATTTCGCATGGATCAAGAATATGTCTCGGCTCATGAGCTCGCAATTGAATAAACATCATGGTCAAAAGTACATTTGCGATCGGTAAGTATATGATTAATAAAAACGAATTCTTTTTTTTTTTTTAAATTAATATTATTTATATTTTTTATTTGCAACTGTTTACATTATTTTCATTCCAACGAGAGATTGCAGTTACACATGGTAGATTGCCAACGTATAAACGACTGCGCTATCCGACTACCGAGCGACGACGACAAGTGGCTGAGCTTTAACAACTATAATAGGAAGGAACGAGTTCTATTTGTCGTTTACGCCGATCTAGAGTGCATCCTCGAGAAAACTGATAGCGATCAGGAAGCATCTAGGCGCACGTATCAACATCATTAAGTATTTAGCATAGGATACTACGTGCACTGTTCGTATGACAATTCGCTATCAAAATATCAATTTCGTCCCGATCTAGATTGCGTTTCATGGTTCATTGAAAAATTGAGAAGTTTAGCACATTGCGTAAAAAAAATTTTAGCAACCAATGTCCCCATGGAAACTTTGTCGAGCGAACAGTGGGAAACATTGTACAGCGCGACGCATTGTCATGTGTGAAAAGCCTTTCGCGCTAGACGATAATCGAGTAAGCAATCATTGCCATTTAACCGGTCGTTACAGGGGTCCCACGCATTCAAATTGCAATTTAAATTATAAAAACTCATATTTTGTTCCTATAGTTTTTCACAATTTATCAGGCTATGATTCACATTTTATTATCAAAGAAAATTATAAAGAAATAGCTGTAGCATATGAAGACAGTATAGAATTACTACTAATAACAAAGGAAAAATATATATCATTTACAAAAAATGTTCAAGATACTGCTGAAAGATGAGATTCGCGAAATAACATAAAATTACGGTTTATCGATTCTTATAAATTTTTAAGTACCAGTCTCGACAAATTAGCATCCTTTCTCAATAAAAATGAACTTCGAATTTTACAATGCGAATTTCAAAATTTACCCGAAGAAGACTTCGAGTTACTGATGCGAAAAGGGATTTTTCCATATGAATATATTAATTGCGCCGACAAGTTGCAGGATACGCGTTTACCACCGTGCGAATCATTCTATAGTTCCTTGACCGGTGACATTGTATCCGAAAGCGATTACGCGCACGCTGTGAACGTTTGGCAACAGTTCTCTGTTCAAACCTTGGGTGAATACAGCGATCTATATTTAAAAACGGACGTGTTGCTCTTAGCCGATATATTTGAAAATTTTCGCGATAAATGTATTGAAAGTTACGGTCTCGACCCTGCGTATTATTATACTTTACCAGGTTTTACGTGGGACGCTATGCTGAAACATACACGCGTAAATTTCGAATTGCTCACTGAAACATCGATCTGGTGATGTTTATACACGGCGGTTTTAGTCAATGTTCCAGCAGGTACGCGCGAGCCAATAACAAATATATGTAGTCTTACGACCCGTCGAAACCTTCTACGTACTTGATGTACTTCGATGTTAATAATTTATACGGATGGGCGATGTGTCAACCGTTGCCATACGCTGAATTCCAATGGGTCAAAGACGTTGCGAACTTTGACGTGAACGAGATCGCTCCGGATTCGCCCACCGGTTACATTCTCGAGGTCGATCTCGAGTATCCACAGCATCTACACGACCAACACATTGACCTGCCTTTCTTCCCGACGCGCGATAAGCCGCCTGGCAAGCGCGAGGATAAACTTCTAACGACGCTGTACGATAAACAGCGTTACATCATCCACCACCGTAATCTGCAGCAATGTACTCGTCACGGTCTTCGCGTAACAAAGATCCATCGGGTGCTACAATTCGCGCAATCTCCATGGCTTCGCGAGTACATTCAACTCAATACCAATTCCAGAACTCGTGCGAAAAACGATTTCGAAAAAAATTTGTATAAATTAATGAACAACGCGGTTTTCGGCAAAACCATGGAGAATGTGCGTAATCACGTCAACGTAAAATTATTAACAAAATGGGACAGACGGTACGGCGCGGAGGCAATGATCGCAAAACCGAATTTCCACAGTCGTAGCGTCTTTGCGGAAAATTTAATCGCCGTCGAACTGCGTAAACTCGAGATGAAGTTCAACAAGCCGATTTATGTGGGCATGCGTATACTCGACATATCGAAAGTCTGCTTGTACGAATTTCACTACGAGTACATGTTACCACTGTTTCGCGACAAATGTAACATTATGTACGTATACCGACACAGACCGTCTTATATACCGCGTCGAGTGCGAGGACATTTACGAGACGATGAAACGCGATATTGCTAGATTAGACACGAGCGATTATCCGACGGATAATGCGTACGGTATGCCTCTCGCGAACAAAAAAGTACCGGGACTAATGAAGGACGAGAACAACTGTGCAATAATAACCGAATTCGTTGGACTCAGAGCGAAGATGTACGCGGTGAGGGTGGACGGCAAGAAGGATACTAAAAAAGCGAAAGGCATAAAAAGTAACGTCGTAGCGCGAACGATATCGTTTGACAATTACACGCAGTGTTTGAACGAAGATATCGAAATGATTCGTCGTCAATCGTGTATACGATCTAAACTGCACGAGGTGTACACGATATCCGAATCGAAAATCGCTCTGAGTCCATACGACGACAAACGATACATCGTACCGGACTCGACGGAGACGTTACCATGGGGGCATTGGCGGATACCATTGTAATATATGTATTATACAGGG